TGATTTTTTAGTTAATTGATAAGCTTTATGGGGAAATATTAAAATCGGTTGTACAAATATAAGATATAAAAAGGGAAAAAAATTATTAAAAAATTATACAAAAAAAGTGAGATAACTTAAGAGACCAGTTATTAAATATAACTGGTCTCTTTAATGAAAAAAGAAAGTAGCGCAAAAAAATTGCGAAATGCAATAGCAGCATCAAAGAGACCTCTTATATAAATAACAAGTCTCTTTAATATTTAAGTAGCAATAGCAGCATTAAAGAGATCGCCTACCTTAATAAGAGGTCTCTTTGATGTTGTTTGTTGTTACCAATAGCAGCATCAAAGAGACCGCCTATCTATAATAAGGGGGCTCTTTGATATTTTATTTTAAAAAAAAATACTGTGTCACCGGACCCACTATGACTAAAGGTGGGTCCGCCCCTGGTGGGAGGAGTTAGCTGCCGGAAAGTTACATTGGTGGTGGATGGGGTTGCTTTTGGTTTTTTTTTTTTTTTGTTTTTTCGACTAATCATGAGATGACATGTGTATTTTAAACAAAAAAAAAACTCTTAAACAGGCTACCGGTTACATACTTACATGGGACTATTTTGAACGAATAATCCCCGAAGTTCGGATTATTTAAAAATAATCCAAAGTTGGGATTATTTTGAGCGAACCGGCGAAAGTTGGGATTATTTTTATCAATTTTTCCTTCTTTTTTTATTATATACCATTGCATGTTAATTCACTGTTTTGAGTTTTAATTCGATGTAAAAATTATTATACTCGTATAAAATAAAGAGTGTGAAGAGATTTGCATGGTATCAATTATAATAAAGCAATTGATGATCCTTTATTTCAAAAAACTAAAAAAGCAATTAATGATCCTAACTCACAAGCAATCAACTCAATAAGCAAATTGCAAGCCTAGTCAAAGCAATTACAAACAAATTGCAGTTGTTATGGCAACGGTGGTGGTGAGATGATGTGGTTATTGTGGCTTAATTAGTTCGTTGAGTGGGTTAGAGGGGGGAAGTGTAAGGGATTAAGAAACAGGGAAAATATAAAGAAACTCAAATCACCGTTGATAAAACTTGCTTCTGATTTTAATGAGAAGTGTATAATTTTTAAATTTTTTACAAACTGTATACTCGTATAATTTTATAATTGAACATATCATATTTTAAAAATGAACATATTTATTTAATAGTTGTAAATGAACATACAGTTATTTATAATTGAACATATAATATTTCCAAAATAATGAACATACTTATTTAATGGTTGTAAATGAACATACAATTATTTATAATTGAACATATTTATTTAATATTTGTAATTGAACATATAATATTTCAAAATTGAACATATTTATTTAATAGTTGTAAATGAACATACAAATATTTATAATTGAACATTTAATTAAGGAGCATTATTATAGATGAAAAATATATAAAATTTATAATTTTTGTACTTTTTATTGAAATTTTTTGAAGGTAACACACACTCCTTTTTGTAATTGTAAGAATCATTTCCATGACAACTACTATATAGCACACACTCTAATTGAAATTCCTTATTAAATTTGTAAAAATAACTATTTCATGATATAATTGGGTGCTTTGATTAGTAGTATAAAAATGAACTTTTAAGTATATGCACATGTTCACTTTAAAATTAATGCATTTGCTTGTTAAAAATGAAATGATCATGAATAAGAATGAAAATGAACATTTATCAATACGCAAATTAACATTTATCATTTTTGTATAACCAAATGTTCATTTCAAAAGTTATGTGTAAGTTTCATAGTAAGATGTATGCCAATACATACGTATTAGATTTCTATTTATTTAAATAAAACGTTGTTAACAAATAATTTCCAATATAAAATAAATTTAATTTAATTACAGTGATAACGCATTTCTATAAAGCTATACTATTACATGTAATTGTTCCATAAACATGAAATTGAACCAATTGTATATATGTGTATTGTTAAATGAACATTATTTGTTATATTTAATATAATAAAGTGTGTGTGTGTGTGTATCCTCCTTGTTGCAACTCTAATCATATACCTGTGTGTTTTCGATGAAAATTATAATTTGAGCATAATATATGTGTTGCTTACAACATCCTTACTTGATTATCCTGTATAATGAAAGATCGATCAAGTTTTTTTTAAAAAAAATAATAAAAATGCTAAACAATAATCATTTATTTTATAATGCTACATGCTCATTAATAATGTTAAGTTATTCATTTTAATAATTATGATCAAATACGTAAAGATAAATGATCATTTATGATTATAGATATTGAACATGTATGTCAATGTTTTATATTTGATCATTGTGTATTATATTAATGTACATTTTAAAAAAATGTTCAAGGTGTTTCAAATATTGCAACAAATAATTAACTTCCTCCAAGTGATCCAAGAAAAATCCAGTCCCTTCAAGTGCTCTTAAGGAATGTTCAAGTTTCTTTGAGTTTGCCAAGATATGTTCAATGTCATCCAAGTGTTCCAAGCAATTTTCAAGTGTTACAATAGGTTTTCAATATGGCAGTTTAGAATAAAGTCATGTAAAAATGAACATATAGTCTATTATAAATGATCATTATACTTTACAATTACAGACATATCTTTTTCAACAGGACCGACCACTTGATATAATTATAGCTTTTAAAAGTTGAGGATCAACTACACGAGTTTTAATTAGCTTAGCACTCTTTTTGTATTGTATCCACCTTGATTGAATAAGAATATAATCGTCATCTCTGTTCATGCACAATAATTTATTTATTTTAAAAAAAATCAATTAACAATTACATAACTCCATAATGTAAATGACTAATCAAATAAACACTTTCAAATCAAGTAAATAACACTTACATGTCTCCCAAATCGTCATTTTCGTCATTTTTCGTTGTTGTTTTGCAGATTCTAGCCAATTTCATCTCTTATATCACACATTTTTTTAAAAAAATTATTGTACTCAATTTCGATCGTACAAAATAAGTAAATAGACTTACGATTTTGATTTTGTTGGAGATTTTCTTTCGTTAGTGAAATTTCATCTCGTATATCACTCATTATTGTTGATATTGTAACAAATTTATAGATTTTTCTTCATGATTGAGCAATTTCAAAGCAAAAATGGAGAGAGAAAATGATTTTTTTTTAATATTTTTGTACTGGGGTAGGCAGTGCGTGACAATTACTCTTTACTACGAAGTTTGTGGTTAATGGGTTTATCTATAAGGGTTATTATAGTAATTTGGGGGAGGTGTAGGCATTGTTGCCTAGATGGGGGAGTAGGCATAAACAATATAATTAGATAAAAAAAGTCTTTTATCACATGTCAGATAAAAGTTCTTAATTTATATACAAAAATACTATAGGATAAATGAATATGGTTTTTTCAAAGATATGCCCCCGTAATTGTTGAGTTTTCACTAGTATAATATAGCAATTCCCCGCCTGTTAAAAAACCCCCTATGCCACCGGTTTTGAACCACTGGGCATTTGGGGGATGGCAATAATCCCTTGAAAAGCCACCGGATCAAAACCGGTGGCAAAAATAAGAAATGCCACCGGTTAACCGATGGCAAAAGGACTTTGCCGCTTTTATTTTTTTGGTATAAATTATAAATGCCACCGGTTAACCGGTGGCAATGTACATGGAATTTTTTATTTTTTTTGTCCTTTTCACTTTAAATATAGTCGACCAAGCAATCAACTCAAAAAAAAAAAAATCCAACATCAAAATATAAATCGAACTATTTCAATCATTATAATAAAAAAATTACAACATATAATAAAAAAAATTACAATATAAATCAATTAGATCTAACAATTACAACGTATAAATAAATAAAAATTAATTACACATCGAAATGAAAAAACACCCACAATATCTTGATTCTTCGATTTATATTCATGCTTCTTGAAATATACCTGCATTAATTAAAATAAAAAATATTAATAAAATCCACGAACCCAGAAATCCTCGAAAAAATAAACCAAAAAAACCAGAAAAATCGAAAACCCAAAAATTAAAATAAAAAAACCTAAAAAAATTGGAAAAAAAAAAACCCAAAACGCATGCATGTACAAAAAAAATCGATTAATTAAACCCAAAATTAACCCAGAAAAATCGAAAAATCCAGAAAAAAAAACCCAGAAATTAAAATAAAGAACCTAATAAAGTCGAAAAACCACAAATTAAATAAAAAAACCCAGAAAAATCGATAAACCCAAAAAATAAAGAAAACACCCATATCAATCAAAAAACCCAGAAATTAAAATAAAAAACCCAGAAAAATAAAAAAAAACCCACAAATTAAAATAAAAAAACCCAAAAAATCCGAAAAAAAAAACCCAAAACGCATGCATATACCCAAAAAAATCGTTTAATTAAACCCAAAATAAACCCAGAAAAATTGAAAAACAAAAAAAAAACCCAGAAATTAAAATAAAAACCCAGTAAAATCAAAAAACCCAGAAATTAGATAGAAAAAACACAAAAAAAAATAAAAAACAAACCCAGATCAATTAAAAAACCCAGAAATTAAAAAAAAACCTAGAAAAATCGAAAAAACCATAATTAAAAATCCAAAAAACCAAAAAACCCAGAAAAATAAAAAAATAAAAAAAAAACCTAGAAATTAAACTCTTAAATTAAAATATAAAAAATTCCAAAAAATAAAGAGGAGAGAGAAGGAGAAGAGCGGAGGGCTTTGAGGAAACTCAAAACTTTAGAGGACACAATATTTTTTTTTTTTATTTGAGGTAATAGAGGACACAACTTAGAAAAACTTGAATTATAAATCTTAGAGATTAACCCTTTTTTTTTCTTTTTTTTTTTTTTTTTGAAGGAAAGAGATTAACTTATATTTACCCCATTGTTACGGTTAACTTATTTACCAAAAAAAAAAAAAAAAAAAAAAAAATCCTTAAATCAAGTTCAGTATACAAGCTTTGATTTTCTCCACAAAAGTACTCCAGCATTGAAAAAAGACCAAGTTTATAGGAAAGTTCTAGACCCTTGTAAGAAGACCCGCTCTGTCTGAACATATCTGTTGATCAGTTTTTACAAATAAGGCAGAAAATCAGAAATTGAAGCCACATTTACAATCTCAGACACAGCTAATCCTTACGTCATCCCTTACATCACCATCGAATTTTCAATCGGTCATTCAATTCATTGTGCATATAAAATACAACTAAAAACTCTGAAATCTTCGACAAACCCTAAAAAAACAAAACTTGAAGAAAAATAGTCAAATTGTAAAATTTGTTGGTCAAATGAGTGAGAAAATGGGTGCAACAGGAGAAGGATTTCTTGCTAAAGAATATGGATATGTTGTTTTAGTTTTGGTTTTCTATTGCTTCTTCAATTTTTGGATGGCTTTTCAAGTCGGCAAAGCAAGAAAAAAGTACACCCATTTTTTTTTATTATTTTACAAATTTGAGGCTTAGTTTTTTTGTGGGATTTTTTTTTGTTTTTAATTTATGATTTGGGTTTTCTTTGTTATTTTAATTATTAGTAAAATGCTCATTAACATTTTAAATATTTTGACTTTGATTGCTGGCGAGGTTTTGTTGTTTCTAATTAACATTTTGATTAATTAGACTTCAATTGTTGTGGGTTTTTGTTGTTATTAAATTTGTGATGTTTTTTGACCTTTTTTTTTTTTTTTAATTTTATTATTATTTTTTTATTATTTTGTTGTTGTTGTTTTTAATTCTATGATATTATTTGTATTTTTGAATGGATACTTTTTAATTACGGAGTAATATTCATCAGCATACTGATTAATTTTTCCTTAATTGTTGTGGCAATTTTTATGATTTTGTTTTTTAACAGTATATGCTTGAATCTTGATTATTTTGACATCAATTATTGTGGGATTTTGCTGTTTAAAATTATGATTTTTATTTTGTCCAGGTATAAGGTTTATTATCCAACTCTATATGCATTGGAATCTGAGAACAAGGAAGCCAAACTCTTCAATTGTGTCCAGGTATTTCTTCCAAATATTGAATTTTTCCTTTAGTGTTAATGTTGATCAACTATTTTGAAAGAATTTAATCATTTGTATAATTATATGATGATTATTTCAGAGAGGGCACCAGAATTCATTGGAAATGATGCCAATGTTTTTCATATTGATGATTTTGGGTGGAATGGGGCATCCTTGTATTTGTGCTGGGCTTGGTGTTGCTTACATTATTTCTCGCTATTTCTACTTCACTGGCTACTCATCTGGTGATCCTGAGAAACGTCTAACTGTTGGGTATGTCTCTTTTCTATTGTCATTTTTATTTGTCTCATTTTGAGATTGAGGGACAAGTCGTGGCTTAGCGAATTAAAGTATTATTGTATGGTCTCGGGCTAGACAATTACTCGTAACGAATCAACAATTAGAAACTAACCCATTATAAATTAATGTTGATGAATGGTGATCATGTGAATGGGGAGAGTTTTAGTTCAGAATCACACAATAATTGCCCAAAAAAAAAAAAAGAGGCATGTCATGTTCCACACATATCACTTTGTTTTTACTTAAATGCATTTTAGAAATTTGTATCAAGTCGTGTTATATGCGTGTTTATAAAAATTGATCCTTTGTATACGTTTTGTGAAGAACTTACTGAGTGAATTTGGAAGCACATAATCAATGGTAATAGAAAGAAGTAAATGGACCATCCATTAATTTGACAAAGGAACGCTTAGTTTTGCTAGTTTTCCTGAAACTTATATTGCCACTGGCTTGTAATCATTTTTCTGATTTGTATGTTGAATTCTTGGTATCTTGACAAATTGATCTCATAGTCTTTCATAGGGGAGCTTCAACCTTTCGTAGTTGAGATATGTGAGACTGAAGTTAGCTCTCTTGATTATATACTCCCTCAAAGATGAAGAAGCTCTGCTTTTATCAATGATGATATAGAATTAAACTAAGAGTACTAGCCTTGACCTTAGCCTTCACACTAGCCCTTGCTGTAGCAGTAGCTTTTTGAGTCAACGAGTATTTTTCTTCACTGCCTTTATTTGTTTTCGTTTAGGCTTTCCTTAAAATGTTCTTTCCTCCACAACTCTTCCCAAGGAGTTTCACTCCTTTTGGGTCATGAACTTGGATTTTTGAACCATCAAATGTGTTTTGCCACAACTATTTACGCTCCTTAATAACTTATAACCTCTATCCATGCTTGTCTGGGATACTAGTATGGCATGTGACTATACATAAACTTGTATGAGCATATGTTGCCTTCTTAATCATCATATTGTTTATATTACGAGGTTACAATATATCTCCTTGGCTTATTTTATTTATTTATTTATTGGATGCATTGTGACATTTGTTTTAATATATTTATATTTGCTGTTTTTGGCTTTTTGGGACAAAATGTGTAGCGATTGCACTTCCAAATATATATGGATAAATTAAGAAAGAAAATGGCAGGATCTTCAAACCATCCACAAGACCACAACCTATATTTTTATTATTTTTTTAATTCACTATATTTTTTTAATTCACTCTATTTATATTTTTTAATTCACTTTTGGAACTGAATAGCCGGAATTATTTTTCTAATTCGCTAGCTGATGAATATAATATTGGTGAAGACTTTTTTGGCTGGCTCATTTGCAATTAGACAAAAGATATTTGTTTATAATGTCCTTCATCTCTAGTTTTGATCCTTGTGTTGATTGTTCAACCAACTCATGTGGCAATTGTATGATTGATTTATATGAAGCTCTTTAGATTTGTCTCAAGTCTAATTGTGACCACTCTTAAGGAAGGAGCTTGCAACTCATTGATTAGTCAATTGGCAGATTTCAGCTAGCTTAGCTGGTCTCTATGTGGTGTTATTCAACATGGGTTCAGTTTTGAAAATTTTTTTTTTATTATTTTTTTTTACATTATTATCCATTGTGTCGCCTTATAAAGTACCAATAAAAAGGCATTGTTTAACTATTGAACAGTTCTATCAAAAAATGATAAATAGTCTTGTGTTATCCTGTTTCTTTCCATATAACCTTATAAATTTTAGATTGCATGAAGTAGATGTAGGGAATTTTGTGGAGATAAGCATTAGGCTTGAAAATTTTGAACCATATTTAATGGCTGGCTTATGGACCTTTCTGTTGGAGACAATGTAGTTCTAGATAAGAACCAGATATGAATGGAAGAGGAATTCTTCTTCCTGATTTGTTAAAGAAATTATTGAAATGTCTTAAACTCCATATTTGTGAAGAATCGTCAGGGTAGTTTAAGTTTCCACATTCAAATATTCAGCTCCATAACAGAATAATCTTCCTGCAAGGCTGCAAGTACAATGGATTATTTATGGGGTACACCTTGTATGTGAGACAGTCGCACAATAACTGATTATGAGACTGGGGTGACTGTTGCTATTTTAAGGGTTGAATTTCACTATATCTAGGGATAACTTTTAGCGTCACTAAATTGTTCTGAACCATTTCACAGTGAGAGGACTGCGTTGAGGATATCAGTGTTACTTGAACATGACATTTAAGTCTGCATTGAGAATATCTATGTCATCTCAAGTACTCATGTTATGCCTTCCACGTTCTCATACAGATATGAGGATTTGGATATCTAATCCTGTATTTTGAGCCAACATAGCAATTTTCATGAATTGGCTGACCGCACTGAATTGCATTTGATAGAGATCATCCTGGAAAATACTAAGCGTCGATTGTTGCCTTGTTGGTGTTGATTTTGTTGTTAGGTTACTTAAGCTGGCATTTGTCCATACAAATATCATAGTCTGAGTAGTATAGTACAATAGTCATGTTCCTACTTCCTAGTATGTTAACTGATAAATACATGTAAAAAAAATAGCTAGGTCTTTCCTTAGGTCCTGAGTTCAAATTTCTTCATAAACTGTCAGATCTTGTATACATGATGTGATATTTGTTTTTTTTCCCCTTTCAAAAAGTGACTGTTGCTTGACTTGCTTCCAAGTCTATTGAACTACTAGAAACTAATTGTTTCTATATTTTGCTTACAGGAAATATGGTTTCTTTGCCATGTTGGGTCTGATGATCTGCTCAATTTCTTTCGGAGTCAAGCTTCTTATTGCTTGAGAAGTTGGTCTTTCCTGCAAGCTTCGCACACCAATGCTTTTTCCTTACATCTTCATGTTTTATGTGTACTACTTTTGAGTAAACATTAGTTAACTTTACAAGTTTTACAGACTAAGGCTTCTAATAAATCCCATGTAATTGAGCAGTTGTTTAAAGTGAAAAAAATATACGAGGGAACTAATTTAATCTCTTTGCTGTCAAACTATGCGAATTCCTTTTACTAGATTGCATTTTGCACATTCCTCAAATGTAATAGAGTAACAATTGTTGGATTAACAAGCATTAATTTGCTGTGAATGTTAAACTTGAACAACATTTTTGAGGCCACCATAATCTCCGATGTCAGTTTATGTGCTTCTGCTCTCATTCACAAGTAGATTGAGAATAGCTACAGGGTAAAAATGCCATTACTCATCAAGAAAAGGGGTTGTAGAATTACAGCAATAATTTTCATATTCTAGATAAAAAGTCATTCAGAGCAGCTGCAACGTTGTTGTAACATTCCTGGACTCGTGCAACATCCTTGTCTCTTGCAGCATAATCCAACTGCATTATGCATACATAATAAGTTCAGACAGATTAAAATCAGACCCAACAAGTTGTTCAAATAGGCAGCTAACACGGTACCTTGGTAACATTATTGAATAACTTAGCATAGAGCCTCCTCAGAAGAGGCCTGGCGCTGCCCTCTTTGCTCTGTATAATCGTGTAGAAGTCTTGTTTCAGGTATGATGAATTCTTTCGTAATTCTTGTTGTGCATCTCTCCAATATTCCGAGTCCAAAAGTGACTTGACATCTAATAACCCCTGTGCGTGATCTCTGACTACACTCTGAGCCTCCTCAACTGTTTGGTCAGGGACAGTTATCCTTAAGTCTAAACTCTTTGCAGTTTTATCACTCATAATTGCTTCTGTTGTTAAGAATAATGAAGTCATTACTGCTATGGCTCCGACTCTTCTGCTGATACACGGCACAAGTTTATGAGTATTCACCTTGACAATCGGAGAGGACATTGTGCAGCAGGTGGATACAGGAGTAACATATTGCATACATGCTCCGATGACCAACGATGCAATCGCCATAGAGTAGAAAGATATCTGATGATCAGACTGCACTAAACTATCAGTTCATTCATGCTTCGCTTCCCCCTGAAAAAACACAGAATATTTGTTATTGTCAGGATAACTTGACTTTTAATTACATTTAAGTACATGAATCCATAAACTGAAGTATACTAATGGATGCAGTAGCACATATAAAAGCATATGACAAGAATATTGATAATACGACGGTCCAAGCACAAATGGGATGGAATATCAATGTGAATTCATTGCAGTGTTGCATAACCCCATTTCATAGTTTCTTCAATAATAGCAAGTACAAGAAAGTGGAAACTGATGGGGTTATTGAGCATTATTAAGAATACAAATCGGCGAAACAACCAACCAAACCAGTTGTCACCGAGCACTCGAGCGGTGGCATATTGAGGCAGAAAGAAAATGAGAGTATTACCTTAGAAAAATGGGAGAAAAGTGGGAGTTGAGAGCTTGAGCTCCTCAAATTTTGGTGAAGAAGAACAGAGAAAGGGATAATATGTGGTGAGATAATAGGGGCCCAAATAAAAAATGTTAGCTTGTCTTTTTACAACTTAAATTATCTATTGCTATTACTATGTTCAATTACTATATGTGTAGATTATAACCATGACTAATTATTTTCTCTCTTTTTTGGGTATTTTCCAATTATTATTGAACCCAAATTATTGTACCCTCTTCTTCTTAAAAAAAAAAAAAAAATCGTGTTTAGAGTCTTATAATAAAGAGAAATACACTCATAATCAAGGATTGTTTAATTGATTAAATAAACTAAATGGAGTATTTATATCGAGTATAAATGTATTTACCTGCTCGATCTGGTGGTCAAGGTTTTTTATCTTAAGAATTAAGAGTTGTGATGTGAGTGTTTGTTATGATATTGTCATGTTTCTCACCGGATTGTTTTGGATGTGAGATATCTGTCAGTTGTGGTCAGAGTTTCTAAATGTCAGTTATGGTTAAGGTTTCTTAAGATTTACAATTGTCAATTATGATATTGTCATGTTCTCGCCGGATTATTTTAAAACGTGGGATATCTGTTTGTTGTGCCAAACTGCCAATTATGGTCAAGGTTTGTTGTGACACACATTTTGAGAAAGGTAAATGAACAAAGTTTTCAAAAAAATTTAAAAATATCAGTATTAGGAGAGGGTAAGAATATTAGTTGTTGAATAATATTGATAAATTTATTTATGCCAGTACTTTCTCAATCTTTGAGCACAGTTGAATTTTAATATCCGTCAACAACACTAATATTGGTCAAAGAAATAATTTTGAGAACTATCACAATTTGTAATTCCTAATTGAAAAGATAAATTTTTGTAAGGCCGGTTCGATTTTTTTCACCATATACCACTGAATTTTAATTTAATTCATTATATACCATTAAAAACTTTTAAATTCACCTTATAACCTTCAGTTTTAAGAAAATGTCTCAACATGCCACTAATGACTAATACGTTAACACTGTTAGTCATTAAAACTAATAATGCCACGTAGCAACATATAACTGATTGCCTTTTAAATTATTTAATTTAAAAATAATTTTATAATTAATCAAAAAATTAAAAAAACAAATAAATAATAAATAAAAAAACCATCCACCCACGTCAGCGCAGACGAAGCCGACTAGAACCCTCGTGCCGGTTCGGGATCCGACTAGAGCCCTCGTGCCGGCGCAGATTCATACTAGATTCCCCTGGAGACGTTACTCCCCTTCCCTTGAACCACCGTGCCTGCATCCTTCGAAAAACCATCCCCTAACCACCGACCCATAGTTATCAAAATCGCGATCCGGATCGTAGAATCGCAACTCCCCTTCCCTTGAACCACCGTGCATGCATCCTTCGAAAAACCCTCCTCTAACCACCAGGTCCAGCCGATGCCACAAACCCCTCCCTCGCATCGGCAAAGCGAATTCGCCCCTCCCGACGCCATCTCCACGACTCCACCCCACTAAACCACCACGTACGTCAAAAACCAAAAACCAAAATCAGGTTTCAATTTTGGTGTTTTAGGGTTTTGGGGTAGTGGTTTTTGACAATTTGGGCGGCGACAACGGGGTTTTGGGGTGGTGTCTGGGTTTTCGAGTAAGGTGGAAAGGCGGAGAGGGGTTTTGGGGTTCAAGGGGAGGAGGGAGAGGGGAAATTGGCTAATGTGGTGGTGGGGGAATTCGTCTAAGGTGGTGGCTAGGGTCGAGGTGAAGGACGACACCGACACAATGGAGAGGCGTAGGCACTGTGGAGGAGCGCCGCCACGGTGGTGGGCAGGCTGGGTATCAGTGTGGGGGAGAAGGAGGGGTGGTCATTTAAAAAAAAAAAAATTTGTTTAATGATTTTCTATTTTTTGATTAATTAAATAAGAACTAATTAGATGACGCCACGCAGCTCTGTTAACTTTAATAACTAAAAGAATTAACGAAAAAGGAATTTGGTGATATTTTCCTAAGACAAAATGGTATACGGTGAATTTGAAAGTTTTTTATGGTACATGATAAATTTTGTTAAAACTCGATGGTATATGTTGAAAAAAACCGTATAAACAATTTAGTAATAATATGTTTAGGTCAACAAAAACAAATTAATTTTTTTTTTTTTGACAAAAAAATTAAATTGATTTTAATAAATCTTAATTAATCTAAACACAAGGATTTTATTGATCTTATTCAATACTTTCAAAAATAATTAGGTTGAACGTGTTGGATTAAAGAGAGAAAAACCATGTTTTTTTATTGTTGATCAGTTCACTCTACAAGGAGGTTGTGGCTTACAACGTTTGCCCTCAAGTGGGTTGTGGAGTAAGCCTTTTATGTCTTCTTTATAAGAAAATCAGCCTACTCCACAAGCAGGTTGTAGCCAACAACGATTGACCACAAGTGGGTTATGGAGTGGATTCTTTGATGTCTACATTCATTCATCTTTTGGCATTCTTCCTTCATCTCTTGGATTCTCTTGTAACCTCCCATTAAAGTGGTTGTTTATAGTGATTTAATCAACTTCTATATTATTCAGTCACCCCTTTGATGTCTAGATTCATCCTCTTGAAGCTCCATCCTTGCCTATAAAATTAGTCTGGTTATTCTTCAGTGTTGATATACATCATACACAAAAACTAGCTAAACACATTTGTTCTTTGGGCATAAGTTTATATGACTCCACCTCTCATCCAAAAGTACCTTTGAGTGAGAGTGGTGTGTAACCTTAGGGAACGTACCGGCGATACAATGTGCACCCCGATTGCGTCGGAATTCGTTTTCAAAGGCAGTGATGAAGTCACGCCACACCATATTCGTAGCCTTTTAAACGCATATTTTACAACAGAAATCAGACCAGAAAACACTTCACACTAGTCCAACCAAAAAGTCAAAGCAATATTGACTCATGTATTAAGATAATTCTACTAATTAAACTAATCAAATGGATTGGTCAACCTTTGCATAAGTTAATTACAAATTTGGATAAAGTTAGTTGTAATCATTTGATTGTTTTCTGGATATTCTGGACAGGACTTTGGATATCATACCGACAAGTTCCTGTTCAAAATCCTAAATTACTGGATTATGTCCAAAATCTTTTCCTATGTCATCTGCAGTAAATCAAAAATAACATAAACAACCAGTTTTTATCATGAATATCAACTTCAAAGCTTATAAGAATTCGCAGGCAACAATGAAACTCGTATTTCGCAACAATTTGAGGCATGGAAAGAAAATTAGGAAAAAAACAGAGAAAACAACGAAGGCATTATAGTAATAGATTCTCAAATTCTACTATCATAACGACAATTTCATGACCGGTTGTTCACGAACCTGGCCAAGGAAATCTTACTCACCCAAAATGGCTACAAATTATAACAGTTTCTACATAGATCCTGCGAAAGCTCGGAATATAAACTTCAGGTGAGCTACAAAATGTGTATCTGAACAAAAGCTACTAATTTGATGTTTAGAATTTTACGGCATGATGCCTCCCAGAAGCTGAGTTAAGTAGTACTCAGGACATGCTGTAGTAAATTAATAAAAGGATTTTATCTTCACTTGCTTGATATATGGAAGAGGGTAGATATGGAGCGAGGACTATACTGTAACTTCAATCTGCATCTTTCTAACGGCAAATCTATGAGTACGTCTCAGTCCCGTGCTTCCCCAACTTCTGAACATCCTCAGGTGAAAGTATTTTAATATAGGAGACATTGTACACGAATGCCCTGTAAGAGAAAATTATAAGTAGCTTGTTACAAAAATCCAGGAAGGGAAAGAAGAGAAGAAAAAAAAAAAACAGAAAAGTAATTCAACAGATAAAGTATGAAAGAAATTCCAATAGATACACAAATGAAAACAGAACAAGGGTGGAAAGCAAACACCAAAGACGAGGGTGGATAGAGGTACACAGAGACCAAAAAACAACTCAACAAAAATCATGAATAAATAGTAAAGCATGCAACAAAGAACAGACTCAACAATACTAGAATAAATGAAGTCAGCAGCAAAATGTGTGTTCATCAAATAAGTGGAAACAATGATTACTTACTCCCATGGATCGTCTCCAAGGAGAAGCACATCGTTCTCCCTGTCGACAAATACAAGCTGCCAGCCTGATCTCAGAGGGTCATCGAGCTTTCCCTCAATTCCAAACATCTGACCCAGCTCCTCACGCAGCTCATGATAACTGCTGAACCGGGAGATGTCTAACGAACGCCCAACTGATCCAGATTTATACACCTGAAACCAAGAAATACCATAATTACTCTGATACTAAGGATAAATGGCAAAAACAGTTATTCTTTGTAATTTCAGGAGCATGTACCTTGACAAATGTTCTTGTTGGGGTTGACAGGTCACCCTGCCCTTCACTGTGCAACTCAGGGGAGTTGCTATTACAACCATACATTGAGAGTTGAAACCCTGAAGCACCAGATGGTATTGAACACAGATCTGTATCATTTGAAGAAGTACGATAATTGGTCGGCATTGTCATCGGCAACACCAGCCCAGAAGAATCAAGATTAGCACCAAATACATTGTGATTCTGCACATCTAAGCTACAATTTCCAGTCTCCAAGGAAGCCTCTTTTCCAGGGTATGGAGGTAGTGAGACAGCATCCCCAAAGGCGTTAGCGGGTGTATACGAATTCATTGATACTAAGGGATGTTGGGAAGTCTGTTCATTTAACATTGTATGATTTACATTCGACATGTCAGACAAATTACTAATCCCTTCAGTACATGTGGATGACATAATGTTTTGTACAGGAGAATGAGTGGATAGCTCAGCATTTGCAGTGCTAGTGTCTGCTTTTCCAAGTGATGATGACATAGTATGTTGCTGCCTGCTTTGCATTCCATTATTCGAAAGTGAAAATGCTTCAGGGCCACATAACTGCTGATTTGCTAGTCCCTCATTATGTTTGAAGTACTCCTGTGGAAGAACACGCTGAGGAAGGTTATCCTTGGAAACTTGGGACTGCCCTTGCATGAACTGTTGGGCAATTGATGGATGAATCATTTGTTGCTGCTGTTGCAACATGGGAAGTTGACTGGTTGATTGCGGAAGGTATTGCATAGGCTGTTGAAATTGCATTATCTGGGGATTTAGAACATCACCGCCACCTCTTAAATTTTGAAAATTGGATGACAACAAGGCTTGATATTGCTGGTTTTGATTGCCAAGTGGAAGCATGTTGTCAACTCTTGACTGCATCCAAGGAAACATTCCAAGGGATTGGAAATTCATGGAATTAAGACCTTGTTCTCCACCTTGTCCTCTCAACCACATTAAGCTGTTCGCAGCATCATCTATATTATCTGCAATATGAAATTAAACAGATAGATTTGGTAAACAGATAAAGCCTTTTCATTTGTCAGCAGATCCTATTATAGTTATGAAGACACAACCCACGTCAAAAACAGGAAACAATATCATAACCCTAGCAAAAATAATTTCCCCTTCAAGAGGAACAGATAAGAGCCATAAAGCCCAAAGATATAAAAGGGAAGCAAAAGGCAAATTGTTTGGAATTCTGAATATCTGTATGCCATTAAAGGTGTGAGAAAGATCAGTAACATAAACTTTTCAGAATGGTCAATTCAATCCCGCATGCCTCATTTTAAAAAGTTCAATTGCCTAAATCAAAGTATCAAGATATCTGGTATCCAAAACCTTACATTGCCAGATAAGAAAACATTGAACTGTAAAACTTTGATGCTATTGCATAAATGAGGCTACATTTGACATTATATGAGCTTGACAATTAGCTTCAAGCATACAATAAAGAACACAAACAATACTTGATCTATTAATTAACCAATGATAACTGTAAAAAAATTATTTGCATTTACTTTCTTTCCCCAGTAGATCTCTGAAGTTTATAAAAAGGTCAATTCTATGGGCACTATGGCCAAGTTGGGTATACCATTACCATACACCTAGTCCTTCCACCATTTGTTATTTTTGACAATAAGGAAGCAATTAAATCAAGGTTAGAAATCTAGAATTCAGGTCAGACATAAACATAAAGTTCCAAGAGAAGAATGCAGAAAGCACCATCTGCATTTGGTGCCCAGAGAGGTATTGTGGGGAACGAAATAGGTGTTTTTAAAAAGCAATTTGGTGCATCCATATTCCATATCAAGGAAGTGTGAGAGGGAGTAATAAATTATGGAATGCTGATTTTGTAAGATTTAATTGGTCCCAAGTCCCACATGAACATCCAAGGTAATGCATCTACACCAATAAAACATGTGTTTTTCTTTTATAATTGTCAATACCATTCATAACTTCAAAGATATGTAGGCATGAATGATGATGAAAACTAAAGAAGATATATGCATACTGGTAAATGGAGATACATTAACCTGAACATTCAAGTGGAATATTTTCTTCTGCATTATACACAAAATTCATTACTATGTCCTAAACTATTACCTTACACCAAACAAGACAAATAGAATTCATAAATTGTCGTCCATTTTCTTTTCTCCTTTCAATTGTAACCACCAGCCTGCCAGCCATTGCTAACTTCTACTAGTATAGTAGTATACTTCAAATTTGTATAGGTTTCTTGTTGCCACACAAATAATGAAAAAGAGACAATAACACAAGAAAGAAAGAGTTAAGGGAAATCAATACTACTACCTGACAATGATGAAGTGCCGGCATGCCAAGGTCTTTTGAGCCTTAATGGAAAAAGTGATGGATACATGGGGAAGGTTGTCAACGGCTCAATCTCCCATAATGACACTCGTGGTTGTCTCTCACCAGCAGTTGATTCATCCCAACCAACCTGAACAAAAACATCGAATTGAAACACAATAAGATAATCTAATACAAGTTGTATGTGAAAGGTAATACCATGTTTTATTGAGCTTTTGACTTAGAACTAAGTCAATTATGGAGTACGCATGGTAAAGTGTCAGCAGATTTTGAGAGCTGTAACAGAATGGGTGAC